TCTTCAAATTTGTCCGGTACTGCACGACAAGCAAGCAGGAAAAGACTTAAATTTGATACGTGCGTACAAAGTAATGTACAAGGTAAATTGCAAAAACTGGGACATTTATGTACACCTAATAGTTTAGAAATAATATACATAATATAACAAAATTATTTACTTACCTGGAAAATAAGAAATCCAATATGAAAAATAATTTTTGTGGTACGAACTAGCACAAAGTAACGTAAACGTATGTTTTATATTTACCTTATTGCAAGTCAAATTCACCCCTTTTCAAATCGTTTTGTCTACAGATTTGTTTTCTTATGCCATTATAACAAAAATAAAATCCAATATAAAGTTATTATTCCGAAATAAAAATTTTGCTGCACGTATGTAATAATACTTAAACAAAAAATAAAATGACATAAAATTAATATGAAACATTTATTTATTTAACAGCAAAATATAAAATTATATTTATTTAACAGTAAAAATATTATTTACGTACACTAAATATATAAATATTAAAAATGTTATTTATATGAAGATATAGGTAGTTTTATATACATATTCACATAATAATTATGACAATCTGTAGGAGTGACAGTTGCAACAGTGATTAATAACATCCACTAATGTTCATGATTTGAAAGTTCAACAAAGTATTTCTTGCACAGAATTTAATTTTTGAAAAAACTTCTTCAATGGAGTTCATCATTGGAGAGTATGGTAATAGAAATAATAAAGTGTATTACTTCACTTTTAATTCACCAACACGATGAATTTTATTTGCAAAATGGTGAATTTGATCTGTGAAAATGTGAATTTTATTTGCAAAAAAAGTGAATATAATCTGCAAAAGGATTAATTTGTAATGCCGGTTTCCTATAATATCCGCCGCGTTATACGGGAATTTTAATTCAACGATTTCGAAAAATTTTAACATGCTGCATCCGTTCCTGATAATGCAAATCATCATGTGCAGGTTACTGAGAATGGAAATTCATGTAATTAGTATAATACTTATCGGATATTTATGCAACTAAAATATGTTCATGTATGTAAGAAATATGTAGATAATATCGGATATTTATGCTACTAAAATATGTTCATATATGCAAGAATGATAATATGTTAAATTATGTAGAATACATGTTCACATTGCATGAAGTTGTTCACGAAAATATTGAAACTACAAGACATCTTTCTTGGACATACTATAGAATATGGAAATATCATTAGCGGTATAATAAGATTCGACTGTCGCCGTTATATTAATAAAATTTGCAATGAATCTAAAAACGTATATATAACAGTTGCAAGTATGTATATATATGTATTACGGAGATCCAGAAAGTATTTAGATAGTCATTATTCATTACACAGAAATGCGTCGTGATAACATGTAGTAAACAGGAAATTATTTTTTTACAAAGAAATAAGAAAAAAATACAGAGTACAATTTTTTGATTTCAGGCTTTATTTTTGAGAAAATCGACTTTGAATATTTATTTAATCATAGCAAGTTTCCTCTTTACAATCTCTTAAAACTTGTACGATCTTTTCTCGCTATTCTATCGAATTCGAACGTTAGAATTAAGTAGCAAAACGTTAAGATTCCTTGAATTTTTGTCATTTAATGCTCAAGGTTCAATAAAATATAGCAAGTTTGAAGAAGCTGATGTAAAGGAAAGACTTTGAGCTTTGAGATTATGGTAAATCTAGTTAGATTAAGATTACGGAGTATCGATATATAGATAATAATAGATATAATAAAATATAGATAATAGATTATGGAAAATCGAGTTTTTAAGTTACACGCGGCCACCTCGATGTATCTATAGAAACCATAAACAATCGGCGATTCAACGCTTACACATATGCTGCCACAAACACGTAGCTATAGGCAATATTCATTGTAGTAGTAGCAACAGTTTTTTGCAAAAATCTCGGAAACTAAGGCCGAGCGACGGTTATATGTATAGGAAAAAGTTGTTCAAAATGTTAATATTTACAACATATTTAAAAATCGTCGAAATCGGTGAGACTCCCCCTTTTCTAAATAATTACCGATAATTTTGTAATAGTATAAAAATTTGGAATAAAAGAATTGTATGTTGATAATTGAGGTTTTATATACAGTAAGTCCTATACTTTCAAAGGATCTATTTTGGTAAAAAAATTAAATAGCAATGAATTTCGTATTGATATAAATTTGAGATTTGAAATAAAACATGCTATTGATATTTGCTGTACAATGCTGCATAATGTTGCTCATAAAAAATAAAAAAATGTCTGTTAGCGTTTTTATTAATTCGTAGTTTACCAAATGATCATTATCCATTTCTTTTAATGGAAATACCACAATCAATATTTAAAATATTCGAGTTTCGAACATAAGATGCCTGCGGTGTAAGATATTTTATGAAATATAGCTGGCACATATAACTTGACGTGAAGTTAGAAAGCTAGATTATGACAAGCAAAGACGAACTCGATGTAAAGTCAAATTACTAGAAAGTTTAAGAACAGCATAGATAAATCTGAGGCAAAGCCAAAGAGTTCAACGATTAAAGAAAGTACAGATGAACTTCATATAAAACCAGGCGGCTATAATACTTGAAAGAACCTGGAATTATAGAATCACAAGAAGGATTTAGTTTTCGTTTAACCCCTTGCGCTGGCTCGCCATAACTGGTTCGCCATAACGAGTGACCGAATACAATAATTCGTCGCTTTCTTTTTCTTTTGAACTTGTCGGTATGTCACTAGGTAGAAATTATTTAGAAGTAATATTATAGTTACATTTAAATATACTTAAAACTGAGAAAATGTTGCAATTTGGGACAAAAAATTCTCGACGTGCGTGGCATGTCATTCCAGCGCAAAAGATTAACATACCCTGTTCGAACGATTTCCATTAATTCTAATCATTAAAATTATGCGTATGAAAGACATTGTCTACATAAAATAATTATTCTATTTTTAGGTTCACTCATTTTTTGTTATTAATTATCACCCATTTTTTAATATTAAAAGTGGTTGGCATCGTTCACTGTATCGATGCTTAATAATTTCACCGTTTTTAGTGGAATTACGTTAGAACAATTAAATGCTCACGGTTGAAAGTGGTTGAATTTGAACTGGATTGGAACTTTATAAGATATAAGCACTTTTTTATAAAACAGACTCGTCGTTAGCGGGGAAGATAAAGCATTACATATAATTGGTGTAGTTATACATAAAATTCACTCACATAGCGCATTATACAATCACTTACTAAACTTAACAGTGCGTCAGTGCGTATCACTGCATACGTAAATACAACCACTGCGTTGTCATACAATTCAGGCTATAGTCATTGTCACTTCTGTGGGTAATCGCCATCTGACTATGAACTATGGTCAGTGATACTATGTCATACTACTATAGTTATACTACTATCATTCATCTATTATACAGTCCAATTATCGCGATTTTCGGTCCTATATAGGAATCGTTAATCTCACATAATTTCTTCACACACGGTCGCTATCCGCCTCAAATACAAGCGCGCGAATCGCGATCATATCGTTACTAAGTTAGGAAAAGTATCTTTTGAAATAAAAAAGTGCAAACGAACTTGATGTGAAGTCGCAGAAAATAATAGTTTGACCTGATAACTCGATCAATAAAAGTTGATACGATGTGGCAAAATCGTGTTGCGTGGGTTTGTTGTGAAGGATAATTAAGTTTAAAAATGATTGAACTCGAACACGTCATATATAGTTTATATGAAGAAAAACGTTTAATACAAAAGTTTCACAGTTTTGAGGGAGAAGTACAACTGTCATACCTGCTTCTTAAGTGTTAGTCATTTTCATATATTTGAATATCGACATTTTTTCTTTCTTGTCGACTTCTTTCAAATGAAAAGATATACTTTTCTTTACAGATTCTTATCATTCTTGTCATTCTTATCTTGTGGTTAAAAAGGAGAAATTTCTGTATAAAACATTTTTTCATCTGCAAAAAAGGCATAAAAAGTATATATATTTTTTAAATTTTTTATTTGAAAAAATTTAGTTTTAGTTTAAATGTTATTGCTGCATATACAGTTCTAGTTCTTCGTTTCATATTATTCGATTATGATTCGGTTTTGGTTCTCTCATACCGTGATTCTCTCGCTCGGAACCGCAAAACAGAAGCTGACGATCAAGAATGAAAATGATATTGCCAATATCCTGAAAAGAAAAACATACGACAACATATTCTATGAGACGCTCAGATCTAGAATCGTATTATAACTGAAATGCAGAATTACAAAAGTAAGGATTATAGAACCAATGTAATATCGGTTTTGAAGAACCGAAACCGTAACCAATATAGGTCGAAGAATCGAAATTGTCTGTAACAGTTGCAACATTTCGATTGTTCATAATTGTTTCAAACTTCAGTTGAAACTGATGTCGTAACCATTATTTCTGAAACAATTGGACATTGATCAACTACAAATACTTCAAATCCGTTGTGCATTGATTTATAAGATATACAAGTCCGAACGCGAAGATTTTATCCAGGGTGTGCCGGAATTCGTAGTACAGTCAAACAGGGGATGATTCTACGTTAAAAAATAAGAAAAAAATTTGGTATAATATTTTCTTAAAACAAACTTTAAAGTCGATTTTCTCGAAAATCGAGCCCCAGATAAAAAAATGTTATATCAATTTTTGTCTCATTTTTTGACGTAGAATCATCTCCTGCTCGATTGTACTACGAATTCCAGCCCACCCTGTATAATATATTACTTAGATATTACAAAGATATAAATCTTTGAAAAAAATAGCGCCTGCAAGATATTGGCCACTTAATATCATTCAAACTACGAATGAATTATTTTATGTGTCCGTATAATAAATAATATTTGAGTTTACACTTGGATGAGACATCTTGTACAGCTCCTTATCGTGTTATTAAGTAATATATAATTTACGAATCAAGTATTTTAATAATAATTCCTGAATTCTTAATTTCAGGTGAATTAGGAGATTATGATCCTAAAATTCATGAAGGAAATTATATTTCCGAGCACAAATTACTACTTAAACAAACGGAAGCTATTGAAGAGAAAGCTATGAAACTGCATCAAACAGAGTTGAAGGGATTCACTCCAGAACAAGCGGAAACTCACTTCCTTAGGTTAGCATCACAGTTGGATACATATGCCGTTGATCCACATCCTGTAAAGGTAAGACTAGACTTTTTTTCGAATTCGTCTTCACAGTGTATGTTTTGCATAAATTAAACTTTTACCATAAAAGAAGCAAATTTTGCTTTTTTTAAAACTATTCTAGTAAGAATTAGAACCATAGAAGGAGAATCATTCTATGCAACGTATTTATTAAAATGGTAAATAAATTTTAATTGTTTTCAGTTGAAAAGCTAATAATCACAGCGATGTAAGTCTAAATTCTTATAATTAATAGATAATAACGTTTTTCAAGTGTTGAAAGCTTTGTACATTTAATTTCATGATCAACTGTTGTTATAACTTCATTTATTACTGAGAAATGGAAATGTCTAATCAAGATAGTAGACGTAAAACATAATTTTACGAGAAACTTCATAAGAATGACTTACATCACTATAATTCTCTGTCCTTCATTTGTCTAATAGTGACTCCTCACTAATTGTGACACCTCAATGCTGAGCCATTTTAAATTTTACACGATGATTATGAATCTGAAATCCGCTTTTCATCTTCAACGTTCGTAAAAATAATTTTGAGAAAAAGGAAAACTTACAATTTTGAATTTATTTTGCGTTCGATAATTTCTATTTACAAAAAAATAATTCTACAAACTCAATTCCAAATACAATGACGTATATTTTAAACATGTTTAAATAATCATGAAAGTGACCGGAATCTCAATTTCACACAAATTATAAGAAAATTAAGAGTATAATGTGAAAATCGTCTATAAGATGAGATAGGATAGACCCTTTCAAACGAAGTTAGAGTACAAAAAATATGATAGAATAAGCAAAATAATTTAACACTAATTTTAATTTAAAGATCAGAAATATTGTTTTCAATGGATCTGGTAATAAAATAGAAAAAATAGAGCTGATTTTTGTAAAAGAACTTTGTAAGTATAACTCAAGTTATTTAAGAAACGCTTCAATTATGTTCTTACTGCGTTTGGAACTAGAGATGTGACATTCGAGTTATTACATTAATATTACTTCCTTAATGCTTTATAATTTTTCTGTATACCACGTAGAGTATATGAAGTATTGTCATTGTATCAAGATTGTATAAAAATCTTGGTAAAATAGTATAAATTGTTCTCTATTATAAAATCTCATTTTATAAAAATAAGAATCATTACGAAAACTGGAAATTGACACAAGATCAAAAATGTATGTAAGAAAGTTTAGACACTTCCTTTTTAAGCAATTGATTGTGACTATAAAAGTTGCACTGTATATATAACTATATAGTAAATTTAGTTATTTAAAATTAAATTCAGTTATTTCTTGAATTATATTCATACGCTGTTCTCTATCTTTTTCCAACTTATTTCGCTATTATGTTTGTCCTGCAATATTATAAACTGAGAACGATATCGATTCTACAGGATGTTTCAAAAGTCAGGATGTTATTATTGCGTCGTATTCTCCTCGTCGAGAGGAACAAAGTTGCTAAAGGAAATGAACCCCCTCTCTTTTAATTTAATGGAATGCGAGATATTTCTATACAGGGTGTTCAAAAAGGTTGGAACCAAACTTGGCTACGTGTTACTGAGGTCAAATAGATGAAAAAAGTTCATATAAACTTATGTCCGGAAATGCTTTATTGAAAAGATATAAGCGTTCAAAGATTTATGGACAAAATTCGTCTAACAATTCGTTGTATAGAAAATTGTATACGTATTACAAATTATTATACATATTATTCTAAGTCACCTGACATAACGCTTCTCGACTTCTATTTGTGGAGTCATGCAAAAGAATTGGTTTATAAAAATACGATAGAAACAGGAGATCAACTTTGGGAATGTATAATAGTAAAAAATGCATTTATTATTATTTCCGATACAAATGGAATATTTGAAAGAGTTCGCCGTCAATCACTAATTCGACGAGTGGAAGCTTGTATGGAGAAGGAGGAATTTTCGAATATTTCTTATAACTGTCACAATATTCATCATAAATATTTTTAAAAGCTTATATTCAATAAAGCATTTTCAGACATAAGTTTATATGAACTTTTTTCATCTATTTGACCTCAGTAACACGTAGTCCAAGTTTGGTTCCAATCTTTTTGGACACCTTGTATGTACTGCACAATTTATATCGTTGAGACGAGATTTCGTGTTTATAGTACTACAGGAAAGCATGTGTGAGTAAGAAATGTCTGTAGTTATAGCTCAGTCAACAACGAACATTGTCAGTGTATTGATTCTGAATTTGTAGCAGCCTCTTTAATCGCTATAGAGCTGCCGGAAAACGTAAAATAGTTATAGTTATTTTTCATTTGCGTAAAATAGTTATTTTCCTAATGAACTTATTAAAAGATGTTATTTTTTATTCTGCAACATACGAATGTCGCAAACGATATATGCAGCTGTGAACAAGATTTTTGTAAAAGTCATTTGTTTAGTTTCGCAATATAAACAAAGTGATGAGAGAGAGAGAGAGGGAGAGAGAGAGTGAGAGTGACTTAAAAGAGATCCATACATATGGACAAAATTCATTGAGCTGGTATCGACAGTTTTTTTTAGGAATATCTCGGAAACTAGGTCGGCTACTAGTACAGGAAAAAATTGTTTAAAATGTTTGAAATGATTTCTAGAACATGTTTAAAAATCGTCGAAATCGGACAGGAAATAGCTTTTTTCATAATTTCAGCAAATTCGAGAATTATTTTTATACGTTTTAACATTAATTATTAATTAATCTAATTGTATTTAATAATCTATTAGTGATAAAAAAATATAACCATATACAGGGTGATTTTAATCTATAACTGCGATTATTTTCCCAACTATTTGTTACTTAAAAAATGTTTCAAATACAATTTGCTCTGTTTCGAGGAAGCATGTACTTGTTAGTTTGTGGATGCATAAAGAAATACGAAGGTCAATACTATTTTTTTAAATGGAATTACGTAATTTTTTTTACGCAACAAATCATTCCGTATAAAAAGAAGTATTAATCTATCTTTTATACAATCTATCATTAACACGAGAAAAGACAAGAGTAGTATTTTTACATTCAGACTGTTCTTGTCTTTGTCATGCAATAGATTTTATAGAAGTAAGATTAAAATATCTTCTATACTTATAATTTTTCAACATACATACGTACTTTTTTTATAGAAAATGTCAATGGATCAATGAATCAAAAAATTACTCTATTTTTAGAAAACCAAAATCACCTTGATATCTTCAGAAATACAAGATATCCAAAAATCAAAACATATTCATCCGATTAAGATCCCTCAAACGCAATAAATTTCATTTGAAACATTTTTTTTTTATAAAATCACTAGGAAACGAGTTATTTCAGGTATATGAAGATTTTTCTAAAAGAAATAAATGATAAAAGTTTTAAATTTTCCAAATTTTTAATGGTCGTCTAATGCAAGAAACAAAAGTCATAAATAAATGTTAGATTACTCTGATCATTTCCTTACATTTACGATAGCATATCTGGGGATATTAAAAAACTTTAAAAAAAAAAAGACTAATCATTAACAGCTTGTAATTTACGATAGAATTATTGAATAATTGAAGTTATTTACATTTATATTTGAAAGTGCATATTTACAAATTCGAGAAATGTTTATTGAATGTATTTATAAGAAAACAAATAAAATTCCTTTTATTTTTAACATTATAATTAAATTTGAAGAAAGGAAAACAATAGTTGAAGAAATAACTTAAAATTAATTTTAAAAAGAATATAAAATATGTATTATGTATATGCATATAGTACACAGTAAAATATATGGTATAGTAAAAATATTTTTTTTTCTTTATTTCCAGGACCAAAAAGGTGCACAATTATATCTCGGTATTAATCATTGTGGAATTCTAACCTTTCAAGGATCCCGTAAAACACATCATTTCCGCTGGCCGGAGGTTCAAAAAATCAACTACGAAGGAAAAATGTTTATTGTACATTTAACGATAAGTGAGGTAAAATTTTACGAAATTCATTTTTTATAATTATTTTCTTATCGATGTTTATCTATGAAATTGCTAGCAGGCATGTGATATCTGATTAGGATTTAATTTTTAATTTAAGAAAAATATTTTAATAAGAAGTTTTCGAAGATTCTATAGTAATTTATTTTACTATTAATTCCCCCCAAAATAAAACACCTTTTAAAGACACAATATGTGATATTGATGCATATATTTTACTTATACATATATAGAGGGCTCAGAAATCAATCAGTATAAATCACTTAAAAGCAACAATGCAAATACTCTTTTATTGTTGAAATCTTCAATCGATGGAAGAATTTAGTCTTTATATAATAAACATTACAATGTAATCATTACAATTATAACTAAATTATAATTTTACAATATATTACAATTATAACTAAACTGTTCCATTGAGTGAAGAGTTTTGCAATGAAAATACGTTTGTATAACACAAGTCATTTTTAGTGAAAAATTACATTGATTAGCTTCTGAGCCCTCATGATAAAAATACGTCATGTGTTTCATGCATGTATGTTTCACTTATATTGTATGTACAAAGTATCCCTTGATTTGTGGATAATCATCTATGCAGTTTCTTTACGAAAATACATGCGAATAAAACTATTAGATAATGTTGTTTCTTTTATTATTTTTTAATTTTAGTAAAACAATCATTTTTTAAATATGTTTATTTGTAACTAGAAATTTTAACTTTTACATTAGGGTAATAGGAGATTATAATATATTATTTGTTACTAAAATCAGAAAGCTTGAAACCATGTTTAATATTGTAAAATTATCAATATTATTTTCTTAATTTCGAAAAGAAAATTTTTGCAATCTACGTTAAAATTGATAATAATAAAATTGTATAAAAAAAAATTAGATTTTAAATTTATTTTTTTTTAAAGTCTTCGATGCGTTGATATATTTCGAAAGAAAAAGTAACGATTTGGACTGAACTGTAAAAATAATTGAAATTTTTAAAATTAATAACAAATTTTGAATAGAATAATTTTGAATATTAAAAAATCATATAGAAAAGTTAATATTTAATTTATAAAATTGAAATTAAATTTAATAAACGAATTGATAAAGTTTAAAATCGGATAATCAATTTAAGTATAATTCACTAATTCAAGAATTACTATAAAATATATTAAAAATTTTAAAGGATTTAAAAGAACTAAAGAAACCAAAAAAATTTATATTATTAATATTAAAATAATGTAATATTATTCTATATGCACCTTTAGAGACAGTTGTAGTTAAAAAAATTATAAAATATCAGAATAATAAAATTTTGTTATTATACTCAGTTTATATTTTATTATATTACATACAGTTTCTCATAGTTAACATAAGTTTACTATAATCTAAAATCGAATAAATTTTCACATCATTATATACTGTAACATGGTGTTTGTATATATTTACATATTAAGAACATTTTCTTTTTTTTTCTTTGTTGGTCTTATCTTTTAAAACTATTCTAATATTAGTAATAGTTTGTTATCAGTTTATCATATATTTAATATTAATTAGATAATTGAATGATGAATATAAAATTACGTGCGCATTAATTTAACTATACAAAATGTAGTAATAAAGATTGTTAAAATATTTTATATTCCGTAACAAGTGAACAATAGTAAAAGTAACAAAGTAATCAGTCAGTTATTGTTTCAATCATTTCATATGAATGTGATCGATGAACAAACCTTGACCTACTGACTGAACGTAGTTTATAGGATTACTAACTCCATGAGTCTTCCAATCGTTTGAAGTGTATCGACATGTCCATAAATACAATGTTCGAAGTGGAAGAGAAATATCTCGTTTTTCAAAAATGTTTGAATCACTTTGGAATTAATTTGAATTTTATAATAAAACTAATGTTAAATTCATTGTCTATATTTAAATCATAAATACGTTGTGAAATATCAAAGTTTTACGAATAAAAATATTAATTTCTTAAGATATTAAAAACATAAAGGCATAAAAATATTACACTCACGTTTAAAGACAGTATATAACAAATACTATATTTATTACAAAATTAGAATTGAAAATTGATTATATTGTCAACCAGAATTATTAATTTAGATAATACTTTATACAAGAAAGAGTCTGTTAAGTGTTAATATGTTAACAATTGTGCATTTAAAAAATTTCATTATTTATTAATTATAAAATATTTTTGAGCAAGAATATATACTGAATTATAAAAGATTTAAAAATATTGATAAGAATATTTAAAAATATATACTAATATAATTTCCAAATGTTATTAATTTGAAATGGAACAGGTACAAATTTCCTTTATTCACACGCAATTAAAAAACTTTATCATCTACAATAAATACTGAACAGCAAAGGAAAGAAACTAATTTCTTTACATTTCTAAGCTTCCAAAAAATGTAAAAAAATTTTGGATTACTTAATAAAGCTTTTACTCTAAAGCTTTTTATATTATACAATCAGTTTTTAAATCAATTCTTTGAAAGATTTCATAGAAAAAATAAAAATTTTCTTCAAATTTGGAAAATGAAATTTCACTAAGAACATTAACAATGCAATTTGGAGAGTTAAAAATAAAAGGTGTTCTAAGATTTTTAAATGAGAGTGTACATTAAAAAAGAAACTTTTTTGAAAATGATTTAAGAAACCTTTTACATAATATCCAAATATTAATGTATGTAGACATTAGTTAAATTTAAAAAAACACAATATTTGTGAACAGTTTATAACATGTTTTTTTATTTAAAAATTCTCTCTTGTTTTTCATTTTTAATTTTTATTATTTTAGGCATTAACAAATTAATTTGTTTAAATTTTCAAGTGGCATATTGTTTCAACAGTGTTGTTGTAAAGTCTCCATTAGATGTTTTATGTTATTAGAGCTATTTCCGCAACATCTCAAACGGATTAAAATCTGACGGCTGAAGTCAACTCATGTTTATTAATATTTTTTGATCTTTTTCTTTCAAATATCCTCTACAAAATTTGATTGGTTATTGAGATATTTTAAAAATTTGAAAAATGCTTAGGATTAGTATCCTGTCCCATAATAAAACAAAAATAATTAGCAAAACTATTTGCACAAATTTTAAATTAACATAACTGTTCTTAAACTTTTGACCAGCAATTGTTTCAGGTTACAATTCTGTTACTAATGCAATTACAAAAATATCAAAGAAGAAAGATGAATGGTTCAAAGAGTGTTATATTCGTAGGAGTACGTTTCTTTTAGAAGTACAGTGATATATATGCAATGAACAATTACATTATTTTTTTAAATGGAAATACATACTTTTGTATGTAGATTCTTTTATCACTCTACGTAAAAAAGGTATTGAAATATAATGCTAAAAGAATTATTGGTTATTGAGATATTTTAAAAATATCTCTTCATTGAAGATAATACTAAGGAATCTAACGAGAGATATATCCACATCATCAACAAACATTGTAACAATTTTTTTGTGAAATTAATAACAATTGCACAAGTATGGTGTATTTACAAAACCTAAGACAGAAGTTCCAAAACTAATAATAGAAAACGAAAATAACATAGTGAATGTGCTTATTTATGTAAATTGGATTCGCTCATATATGCCTGGGATGTTTAGAATATAATGAAAAAGCGTTTGAACGACTTCAAACATCTCGATAACTAATCATTTTTTTACCATTGTACTTTAATATTTTTTTACTATAGAAAGCATGCATTCCTATTTTAAAAAATAATGCAATTGTACATACACAATTGTACTTCTAAGAAAAATGTAGTCGTGCAGATGTAATACTTTTTGAATCATTCATCTTTATTCTTTGACATTTTTTATAACTACACTGGTAACGAAGTTATAAGTGGAAACAATTGCATGGACCACCCTGTATAAAGGTACATGTATTATATATTTTAAAATAAAATTGGAGAGAAATAAATTTTTGAAATAGGTAAATGGAAATAAATACTTTTATTTTCTCGAGTGATACAGAGTTTACTTTTTTGAAATAGTATTTCGAATACATATATCTTAATAATAAACATATTATATATTTCAAACCTACTGTATTTTAATATATTTTAATTTATACAAATATTCTGAAATAAATATTTCATTAACATTTAAAATAATAGTATTACAAGTACGCAGTTTAAAAATTTTATATTGTAATAGAAAACATAAAACTTTTATTTTATTTATAAATAATTAAAAATTCTTAAAGAAAGTAATTTTTATATATTATTAACTTATTTGCTTCAAATAGAATATATTTTTCACACATATTATCTTTTAAACAATTTTTTATTCGGAAATATAACTTACTTGCCTGCTTATACAAACATGATCTTAAAAAAGTATTGAGCGATATTTGGAAAATCTTTTTTTTCGAAACTCCTATTTTCCTACATTGTCCAAATTTAAATAATGTTTGCTCATGATTTAAGTATTAAATGAAATACTATTTAAAAGTATTAAATGAAATAATATTTCCAAATATTGTTTAACTTGAATGTTGAATGAAATAATATTCTATAAGCAAATAGTATTTCCTTATGGAAATATTTCAATTTTCAGTATTTTGTTTTATACTATAATTTAAATTTTCCCCAGCCCTGCCTTCAAATAATCTTGAGATATTTTGAGATAATAAAATTTTATTTATAATAATTTTATGATAGCTTGAAATTTTTTTACGAAATATAAAATTTTGATGTAACTCTTTTATCATCAAATATTCATTTTGAAATCGTAAAAATTTCAGTTGCACTTTTATTATCTCTGTCGGCAACGTAAATGATTTACTTCAATTTTAGCAAGACACCTTGTATATTACGCGTTCGATATTGTTACGAGTTCAACTAATCTTATTATTTTCTACTGCTGGGCCTATTCAGGACGTGAGGACAAAGGTAAGTTGTTCCGTAACTGTCACACAGATTGTTCGTGTTTTTCTTAACCTTAGTGGAAATTATATATTTGATTGATTGTTGTCGCAACACGATCGTGTTGCAATACTATCGACTTGTTACTAGTAACAATTCAATTATCAGTGTAAAAGTGAAGAGGAGATTGTTGTGTCGTTACTGTTGAAAATTATAATATTAACAGATTTGTGACAATTAATCGTCTCGATGAAACGACGTAATTGTTTGAAGTCTCTTAAATCGGTATTAAATCAATAATTATCTTCGATAGATTCTGCACTATTACATAAAATTCGAAATCGTCTGCATTTATTAATAATTTAATTTTTAAACATCTCTAATGGCATTATCGTGCTGTCTGTTGATTATTTTATACGTTTGACAATTTTTATATAAAACATCTTTGAAAAAAAAAAAAAAATGTCGATCGCGTATATATCGTGAATTAATATTACAAAACAGAATATCTAACAAACTATTAAATGACATTCGTTATTATTTTCTTATTATTGAATCGGAATATGATTAATTATAAAAAAATGTAGCCGTTTTCGTTTATGATCCTACAATATAATTTACGTTTAATAGTGTAGTACTTGGTGTGAAATAGTTATTCCAAATATTTTAGTTATGTCAGAAGGTATTAGCATAAATAAACAGATCAGCCGTTTTTTTTTTTCCTAATGATTTTATTCTTTTTTGTTGCGTGATAAAACGAACTATGTTAGCTGTAGCTGTCGAAACTAATGTACATAGAGTAGACGTTTTAGTGCAATGTTTCCGAACCATTTTCAGAAAAAGCACACTGTTGGGTTTAAGTGTCCCACGGGATCGAACTGCCGCCACGTATGGAGATGCGCCATCGAGCAAATGTTATTTTTCACGTATGTATGCTGTTATTCAGCTAATGGCTTTCAATGTATTGGCATGAACAATCGTGGCTTCATATTTTGTTGTATAAAATATACCATGTGTATGTGTTTACAATTATATTACATATATCTTGGATCATCGACGAGATCTTACTAGAGATGTACGCGAAATATATCCAAAAATTTCGGGTCGGGTTGAGAATTCATTTTGAGATCGGGTCGAAGTTCCCGAAAATATCTCGTAATACGAGATTGTCGAAATTTGTGAGAATTTCGGGATTGTCAGAAGCTGTTGAAAACACAGTACTGGATAAAATAGTATTTCAAATAAATATATTTATAGAGATTGTTTTCTACGTAGTGTTTATTTTAAATAATTATTTGTTTTTCTATTGATTGAATTATTATATAAATTTATGATTGAATTATTTTAATTAAATTATACATAAATTTATGATTGAATTATTTTAATTAAATTATACATAAATTTATGATTGAATTATTATATAAATTTATTTCATTTGACAAATATACGGGAGATGTATTTCAATTATGTATTTTTCGTGATATCATTATTTGAAGTAGATATTTCTCTCATCATTCACGCAATGAAATATTATTTGAATATTATTTTTGTGAAATTGTTTCTAATTGTTTACTTTTGTACATGAATAAAATTCTGTCTATGAAATAGTTGCATATGTGTCTTAATGTCACATTTGTGTTTCTACGTCGCAGGTTAAATAAATAATAAGCTAACTTTTTTTAGGAATGATACTTAATAATACTAATTAATATTTATTTTTTCTCCATACTTTTTCCAGTTAATTTCCCTTTGAAATAATATTTGAAACAATCAGTGCAAATTTCGAAGCATGAAATATTACTTTAAATAATAATTGCTAATACGCTTTAAACAATTATTATTTCAATTAATAATTCTACATTTGAAATAAATAACTTTATACGTGTGTATATCATTGTCAAATAAAGTAAATTTTCATATAACATTTTATTTTAACAAGAATATTTTAATTACTATTTCAAATACTTTTTATTTTAAATCTACACAGCTCTGATTGAAAACCTGACTTTTCTACAAGAAAATCTAAAATAAAATATTACATTCGTTATACATATAGTTCTTATTTCTCTTCCGTATTCTATAATTTCATAACTTTATAATTTTATAATTCTCAAAAACCTCAGAAATGAAACCTCTTGAGAATCCCAACTTCTTCGATAATCCCGAAATCCTCCAACTGTGAGATATTTTTGAGATTTGTCCCAACTCATTCCGCCCATCGAGTTTCCGTCATTTTCGGGTTTTCTTACATCTCTAGATGTTACAATTCTTAACTGTATTCAATTATTATTCAGTTATTTTACTGAATCATTTTTATATCCACGAACATATTAGATCTAAAGTTGTAACAATTTTGTTGTAATTTTTTGTTATTTATTAATAATAATTAATTAAATGTAATTGTGAAATTATTAAATGATCCAAGATTTTATTTAAATTATAAATGAATATTAACATTGTTTGTATATAGTACCTACATGTGTGTATGTGTGCATCTATATACATGTAATTTATAACGGAATGATATTTATAAATTTACAGATAAGTATAAACTATATATGTGTAACAAAACTTAAGGAAGCATAAATTTTATTATAAGAAAGATAAAATATTTATATACTAAATTTCAGTTGATAATCATTTAGCAATAATTTTTAAAAATTTTACAATTTTGAAAAATTTTTCAGAAATAGAAGTATTTTAACGGAGTTAAAAAAATTTAGTTTTTTAATTGATTTTAAATTTTGTCGGTGGTTCACATAAGTTTGTACACTTTTTTCATAATAACTTCAATATCATTTTATTATTTTGTATATTTTATAAACCTCTATGATGTAATTTAAAATTTATATATATACACACATTTATATCGCTCGATTTAATTTTCATTTAAGTAGCTCATTTTATACAATTTGAAATAATAATGAAGAATTAGGAGATTATTTCTCATTGAAATAATAATAGAACTGAATAATACAAGATAACTACTAAAATATTTAATTTAAAAGATAATTACTAAATATTTAAATTAGAATAATTTAAAAAAAGACATATCTGATAGCTTACATCGAACGAATCGTAGAGAATATTTTTTCATTCACACTTTCCTGTTGCGCGATGTTTGTATCGATAAATGTAATAAAAATATAATATTAATGAATCAAAGATAAACGATATATCATACGAATTAGAAAGGATCTTAATATTAAAAAAATTTGAGATTATTTAACGATTCGAATTATAAATCACTAGTTAATGGCAAATCAATATGAAGCATTGAAAATATATTTATATAAGGTGTTGTTCCACCTAAGTGTATCACTTCAAGTATTTTCGTTGTTTTTGAAAATATGAACAAAATTTATTAAACAAAATAATTCAGTTCATAGGTAGAGAGATTTCGGAGGTTTCAAAGATACGTCCATTTTTTTTTAAATGAAACTAAATAATATATTTTCTGTACCATTAATTTAAATAGCATAAAAGACAAGGACAAGAATGCTGCCTCTGTTTTTCCTCGTCATTCATACAATAAATTTTACAGAACTAAAATGTCTCAGAGATAGAATATCTCCTAAATTGATACACATAGATTAATACTTTTTAACAAAGAAAGTCGACTTGCATCGATTAATGGATGAAAAAACATATCATACCATTTAAAGTGGAGATAACCTTGGAAATCACCTACGGAATCATTATTACCATATTATGACGCCCTCTATACTGAATAACTTAACGTTAACGAAATTTTTTCATACCATGTCAAGATGGATAAAGTTATTGGGATACTCTGTATATTAAATATTGCAAGATACGTTTTGAAGATTTATTGTATTTAAGTGCCATCCGCACATATGTTACACATACAATCTGTTACATATTGCAATTTTTGAATTTTTTGGATTTTTGCTTTAATAAATTAAAGATTTCGTTTCAAAGAAATAGTAACTTTTTTAAATTCAATCCAATGAATCCAAAACACTTTTGATTTCATTAATAAACCAATAGATAAAATGATTGTTAAATGAAGTTAATGAACAGTTGATGTCAGTAAGATCTGTATTAAGAGATAAAGTGATTTTTATTATAATATGGAAAATTTCTTTAGAAAGTATGCATCTTTGTTCTCATCTTAATTCTCCAAGAATATTGATGTAACTCTACTAATAAATCTATTATTTGTTCTTTAATTTCTGAAGTATAAATAAAAATATGTAAATTGCAAAGAAGATAATATATCATGTATTAAAATATTATATCATATATCATATATTTAGAATATAAGCATTTTTTGAAATCTGCTTTTGTAAAGATCACAATTAATATCGAAACAAAAAATCCGTCACAATTCTTACGATAAAAGTATAAATAAATAAATTATAATTATATATAATAAATAATAGCGTAATAAATGTTTATAATTCTAATGCAATATCAGAAAGTCCTTAGATTTCGTAGCTGCGTGGAATTTATATGGCATTGATCCAATTAATCTAGTACAAAATTTAGTCGATATCAGGCTATATTTTTTTGTAATTTTTATCTATTAATTCTACTTTATTGATGAACTCTTAATTGACGTTTGATGCAATTCCATAAGAGAATGCAATTTCATAGAATTAAACCTGGAGATTGATTTGGTCCCCTAATTACGTTAATATTTTATACTGTCAGAGGTGTTTTCTTTTTTTTTAAATTACTTTAGAAAAATACTTAGAATTGTTGAAATAACTATTTTTTATTGAATAAATGATAGTATATGATTTTGCATGATAATGCAATACACAAAGTTTTCCATAATTTCTTTTATTCGTACAAGAACCCGTTTAGAATTTGGATTATTGTATCCAATCGAAAAGTTCTTTCTTGTAGTATTTCAACATATGCAATGATTACTCATATATTTGTGTAACAAAGTTGCTATATACAACTAGATTGTTTGTTAACTTTTGTCAATAAATTTATATATAGCAACAAGTTACATTTGGCTCACTTATTATAGCTAACGCTTTCGTACTTACGTTCTTTCAATAATTTACATTCATACTCAGTGAATCACTGCACACGGTTAACCATCTGGGAGTTATTAATATATTGAAGAGTTTCGTGAATTCGCGAAGGTCTCTCCATCATTCGGCCAAACGTGACTAGTCATTAGAATAAGTGTAGAATATTTAGTGTAATTTGGAATAACACAAAATTTACTATAATAAATAAATTTACTATAATAAATTTTTAATTAACCATAATTTTTTATTTTTTTGTTTCTGAGGTCTTTGCAACACCTCAACATTCTAAACTCACAATGATAAGAGATTTTTGACATGTCACGATGCAAAATCTTAGAGATGTTTGAACTGAAAGTAAAGTTTTAATTTATGATAAATTTATTTAATATCCGTTAGATTTTGTAGGATTTGTGAAAAGTCATTCTAATAGAAAGTACTGGCATTTTGAGTATCGTGAACACAAACAAATTGTATAAAATTATATCAACAAAGTATGCAAGAACGTAGATCTGTTAAGAAGTTCTATAAAACTTATACGAATTATAAGTTTCATTCTTGTACAATGCGCTTTCAAAATTAAATTGAAATAAAAAAGATAGAAAACTTTATAATGCAATTAAAGATACAAGCTTTTATTTATGCATTTTACAAGAAATTATTTAAATCTCTGAAAATACATTGTCATAAAATAACTAACAAAAATTATAAATTGGTCATTTTTTTTTTTACGTAATCTTTCTATTTTTTGAAATACCAAAATACATTTTTTGACGTCATCATTTTCGTTTACTAATTCACTTTCTGAAGAAATTGTGCAATATCTTTATCGTGATAAACAAAACGTTGATTTATTGTAAGATTATTAAATATTATATTTTATCAATATTATTTTATTAAATAAAATCTTGTATTTCATATTTAGTAAGTTCTTCTTGTAATTATGGAAAACATGACAGAATATACAATAATACATATAAAATATATTAAAGAATATATAAAATAAATTGATAGGAAAAAGGCACCTATTAATTATTCGAATTTTATTTGGATAATAAAAATTTTGTATTAGAGTATTTGAATAAAAAGAGTTCGATTTGAAAGTTTATTGTACTTTGTTTAAGCAGTTTACAAATATAACATTCAAGATGAGAATATCAATAAATTGTATTAACTTATATTAAAAAAGATTGAAATTATTTATTGCAAGAATCCGTGAATTATTTCATTCTTTAGCAAACGAGTGATTGAGGACAAATAAGAGAGCATCAGTCATTAGATATTAAACCGAAATAAATTTTCCTTATTGATAATTTTCATCAGTAACTGAAAAAGAGTTAATTTCACCAAGAACTGTTATGTCTAAGTAATCGAAATAAATTTCTCTCATTGATAATGATTATGAAAAATTTTGATTATGGCAATGAAAAAATTTATCTTGAAACTTTAATTATTTTCTCTTCTTGAAATTTTAATCAAAAATATCTTAGTTAAAACAATAATTGTTATCCTACTTTTTCCATTCTAGTTATAATACTTACGGTTTCTGTTAAAAAGTGTTAAATGAATTCATTGGAAAATAAACATTGTATTTTTGAAAATACTCTCTTGTTTTGTAGATCTTACTTTATATGTTTTGTTGATAAATTTAAAAACCAATAATAAAATTCAACTTTGTAATTTAATATTATATTACTGAAAGTTTATGTCGTGTCGTACAATTTGTCGAATTTGGATAATTTTAAATTTATCTTTGAGAATTTAATTTCTACAAATGTATATGAATAAAAAAATTTATGAAAATTTATTGGATAATATTTTAATAACTTTAGTAGTTTAACATATATAACAACTCTTTGTTTATTAGATATTTTACAATATACAATTACGTAATTTGGTAAATCGTGAAAAATTTCTTAAGATTAAAATATAAAATAATATATAAAAATTTCTCAAGATCAAAAATCATCTTAAGATTAATTTAGTCTTCAAATACGTATTTGTCTTTATTGACTAAAATTAATTTTTAAAATCGATCTATTCCACATTGTTTATAATATTTTATGGAAAAAAAGAAATTTTAACAGATCAAAACTACAAAAAGAGCTTAGTACTGTGACAGAAAAATTATCACATTGAATTGTAACTTGAAAAATAAGATGAACTTTGGGAAACTAATTACAATAAAATGACGAGTATTTTTCTTTTAAATTCAAACTTCTTCATTTTCTAAGACTTTTGTAATATATAAATACTTCACTGATAGTGAACAATCATTGTAAAATAAATGTCTGACTGTACAAAAATATTGATTCAGTTAATAAAACAATTGAATAAATTTCTAATGTAAATTCTGTTTTGATTAGATTACCTAGGGCGTCAGATGCACCAGTTGTAAGCGGTGGATCTATCTTCTCCTGGGGTACAAAATTCAAATATACCGGTAGAACAGAAAAAGAAGTTTTAGAAGAAACGGGTCCGCTTCGGAAAGAAGAACCACCTATACAGCGATGTCAAACCACGTGTCTTAGAAGAAAAGCTAGTAGTGTGCCAGCCACCCCCAGTACCCCTAGTCAAGATCTTGTTGAAATCAGTTAGTATTTTTTTTCTATTATTAATTTTAGCATGCATTATCATAATATGTATATAATCTTAACTCATGCATATATATGTATATAATCTTAACATTAATTTGACATATAGGGTAATATAGAATAGTGTAATAGTAGGATAAATTAATATAGTACTCTGGTATAGTATAGAGTAATATATAGTATACAGTACATATACATATGTACATATACATATGTAGTATGAGACTGTACGAAGAATAATTCTTACATATTTTCCGCCTGCCTTGCAGATATTTGAAATTATAAATAGCAGTCAACGTTATTTTACCAAAATGCAAATTTAAATACAAATTAAGCACATTAAGCAATAAAACAACAATAAAAATAAAATACATATGTATATTAATTAAAAAACTGTATTTTTAAAAATCTTTACTTATTGAGATATAACATATTCTTTATTTATTAAGTTTCTATTGAAATTCTATATAAATTTAATATTATTTAATTCTTATCAAATACATGTTTCATCAAAATGAACAATATAAAGCAGATATCTTTTTGAAGAATCCAAGGTGCATCATGTTATTTCAACGAAATTTAATAAAATCAATAAATAACTGAAATGAAAAGAGTTTCTTTTTAATATAAATTGCGCAATAGCGGTCATATTAGCGGTACTGAAATAACAGGATTTTTTGCGGCTTATAATATACACTATAGTACTCATAGAAGATTATTTAATCAATATCTAAGTCACACAGACAGTAAAATTTAAGTCAATTTGAAATTTTAAAAGTACATTTAGTTAGAAAAACTTTAGATCATTATGTAAGATGTATTCCTGAAAATAAAAAAACATTTTTTAAAATCACTACTAAATCAATAGATTGGAAGATAATTGAGTGTGAGGAGTTTCAAATAAAGATTCTTGTATCATTTTTTATGTAAAAATGTCTAACTAAATTCAAACAAACTATTAAATATAATACATAAGTATTATTTAAAATATTATTTTTATTTAAAGTTTTAATTTACATATTCTTTAACAATTATATTAATGGTAAAGTTATATCGATGTAAGCTCTCTACAAATTTTTTATTATAGTCAATTTTTTTTTTTGTTGTAATAATGCGATTATGAAACAATATCTACATATGTATATACTACATGATGAGATGAGGAGAACATGATATAAACATTATTGTTGATCTTATAGACGAACAACCTGAGAATTAATAATAGTCTAACAATCTGAGAATTAATAATAGTCTAACAAAAATTTTAGATTCAATCGTAGAATTGTCGGCTTCATATATTCTAATTGTAGACTAATGTAACGTAAAATCACGAAAAAGTGAGACTTTTACTAGAATTATAACATGTATATGTAATATGTATAATTATAATATGTACATTTATACGAAGAGATATTGCTATTAAGTATTATCCGATATTAATTTAAATTGTTAGCTAAGTATAATTAATTTCTTAAAACCATAAGAAAAATATAAGAGAAAATAATTACTTAAAATATTTCTAAAAAATATACATATGTATTTTGCTATCTACAAGTCACAGGATATTTGTTAATTTTAATAAAATAAGTCTATGATAAAATTTTCAAAACACAGTATTGTATGTTTTCATAAAATAAGTCTGTGATTAAATTTTCGAAAAACAATAATGTATATTTTCAAAACATAATGAATCTTTATTACTAATTGTAATTTGACTAGAACATAGATTTCCGATAATTGTCATCACAAAATTAGTTCACGCAAAATCTCTCCCTATATTTTTAAATACATTTCTCAAAAGTCAGATTTTATTCTGGTCCAAATTTCAAGCATCAATAATCATATATGTATTGTTATTGTATATGTTTTATAATCGTAGTACAATGAATTATAAATTTAGTTGACATTCTCGTATACTTTTTTTTTTCCATCATATAATTTAATTTCTCCAATTATTTTTCTTACAATTAGATTTTTATGCATTTATAAGAAATTTAAAAGTGCAAAATTGGACAAAATGCACATAATATAAAAAAGTTTGCAAAATATTCAAAATACCTTTTATATTTGATTGAGTAAAATAGTTTTCTATCGAAGTTTTCTTTTTTAAATCAAATTCTCGGAAATATAAACTTGCATAGAAATCCGCAGTCTACTTATTAACACGGTTAATAAGTATCAACTTTGTTCTGTTATTTCAACACTTACTATCTGTTCTACGTACACTACAATAATTATCGTGTGTCTATCTAAACGATAGGATGCATTGTATAAACAGGAATTAAAGTCAAAGATGACTGCTCTAACAATATCTGATTACTACACAGATATTGTTAAATAGTATAATCTACGCGAAATATATTTAAAATATAATACTTATAAGTTTCGAATTTTTAGGATATTCCAGTTTGCCACGTAGCTGTCACAGCGCAGGTTTGGATGGTGCTGGAATGTCAGAAGGTAGTACCGGCGTTCCATTCAGTTCGCCTTATTGTCCAGATAATACTTTACCACTTCTAGAACCTGTTTCGGAGGACCAAGAAATTCATGGCAGAAGAAACAATGGTCAGTCTCATTTGATTCTTTTATATTATGGAATTTCTTCTTTCGTCGTTCTTGTAGATTTCTATTAAATTGAATTTCTATGCTGACTCGAGACGCATGGCTTATAGTATATATATATACACATTAATTATTACAGATTTATTTAATATGATTTTTTCAATCGAATCGTTTTGGATTGATCCTTTGCACATGAACGCAAATTTGATTATTAATCGAACATTACATAATTATAATTATAATTAATATACTATGCATTACTAAAAAGACTCTTGAAAGGGAGATGAAGCTGATTGGTTACGTTTTACTCAGGTGAACTCACTTTTCTTGTACAATCTCAAAAAAATCTTAAAAACATTAATTAATTCCCTTATTAATCATTTCTGTGAATCAAACTTAATAACTAATATATGATGAATAAATTTATTCTTTCTTTTTAAAACATTTTTCTTTGTTAAAATATTTAAACAATATTTAATATGTAGAGATTGATGAAATTTTTCCAATAAAATGACTATAAACACAATTTCGCATAACGTATATTCGTAATATATTTATAAATATATAATAGAATATTTCTGAGATCGTAGTACAACCAACCAGGATGTGAATTTACATATAAAAATAAAAAATCGAAAATATAAGAATAAAATTTTTTCGTATTTGTTTTCGAAAAAATTGGATTTGAAAATTTATCAAGTATATTTGAATTTAAATTCTAGGCGTGACAGAAAATAATAATTAATAAAAGGTTATGTGCAAAAGAATATAAAATAAAATTTTTTCATTTAAAGCCTCATTAAAAAAAAAAAAGGGTTTTAACTATGTTTCATTAGAAATTGCCTTAATATCACGTATATTTGATAAATTTTCAAACTCGATATTTTCGGAAACGAAGCATCTTTTAACAAAATTTCTACATTTTTTTCTTATTTTCGCAAAATAATCTCCTGTTTTTTTTCTATTACACCTAGAATTAGCTAAATTCAAGTCTATTTGATGAAATTTTCAAACTCAATTTTCTCGAAAATGAAGTATCATATGAAAAAATTTTATTCTTTCTTTTCGACTTATTTTTACGTAGAACGTGCGTTGTAACGACTGAAGTATTGTTCTTATTTCTGTATTATCCTGTAGAATTTCTGCTCAGCAATGCATAGTATATTTTGTGATATCAAATCAAGTATCCTTGTGTATTATACTTTCCCTCTCTCTTTCTCTTATCGTAACCCATTGTTAATGCTGATTGCATATATTTTACAAGACGTGCGCATGCGCGCACGCACGTTACACAATTACACATGCAAATGAAGAAAGATATTTTCTTGCATTGTACAATGTACATATATTGACAGAAGAACCATGCGTCACGATGGAATGCACTTATAACACGCATGTGTAAATAAGTATAATTAATGTGTTTCAGATTGAAAAGATAATTTTTTTTATTTATTAACTATCGTTGTATCTTATGTGGTTAATCACCAAATCACAAGAAGTCGTATACCGTAATTCAATCAATGAATATATTTATCTATTAGAAGTAGTAATCTCGTGATTACATTTGTCGTTATGTTGCATTGATTGCATGTACATACATATATAATTGGTTTTAATACTATTTTGAATTATCAGTATTGCATGAGTGTTTTTATATCTGGGTGAAAGGCTCCAATAATATCATAAAATATATTCCGATACATACCTCATGTTATATTACGCTATATTTGTTTTCTTATTTTAAATATGAATTTGGACAAAATACTATACATGCTAGTACGATTAATTTATATTTTGTTGTCGATGGATCATTTTATTTAATATTAATATACTTTTGGAGATTCGAGGTAATTTACATTTTGTTCAATATTTATTTATTATTGTTTTTATTTACTCAATTCTTGATGATTTTTTAATAATATTTCATTTTTTATTTATAAGAAGTCTTAAGAGCTTACCGAAATTCTATCTTATCAACAAAGCCAAGAGATATACGAGCAATTAATAGCATTAAACACCAAAACAATAAGTAGTACACACTAATATCAGAAATAAAAATTTTGAAGAGGAATATACCGCATCGTGACACAGAATTTCTTATTATTTGTATTTCGAAATTTTAATAGACAGATTCAACTTGAATCTTTTTATTTGTTTATATTTCTACCGTTTTGATATATTTTTTTTTTCTTTTTATAGAGCGTTCACTCTTTACTTACGTTTATATTTTCAAAGGGTCTTGCATCCAGAAATACGTCTAATTCGTCTAATTTAACCTGATATAATAAAAATAACTGTTACATAGTTTGAAATTTAAGAATATTTTAAGATATAAAATATATTAACTATATGGATGCAGGGTGATTGCAAAACATGTGGGAAATACAAGCTGATTTAGCAGTAAGAAGAAAAATTTATGTAAATGTATACCCATATGTACGTCCTTGTTTTTGAATTAATAGCTTATTTTGCATTTGCTTACATACTGAAGAAACTGCTCAAAGTAACCATTTTTAGCTTCAATACAGGCATGTATACATACTCATCTCATGAACTGTCGAGCTGATTTAAACAGATCAAGTATTGCACGAATATATTGGCAATTTTGGACGATACGTTGACAAAGTTTTTCAACATTTTCTACTAGCGTTTTATAAATCACAGACTTTAACCCTTTTGCTACCATAGATGAGATATAAGTCGCTTAAATACATGCCAAATCGATTAATTCTACGAAATAAAAAAAATAGAGGAAACAGAGTAGTTTAAAATTCCCTTTAAAATGTGAATTCGAATAAACATTGTAGAATGTACTATTACAAGATCTAGATTTCAATCTTAGATAAAATGCATAAGATAGTATATCCTTGGAGTAATTGTTATTATTAGTATAATTTTCGCATGACTGAAGGAGTTAATCAAGCTGGCAAGTGAAAATAAAAAGAAAATAATCTTACCAAATTCAGTCTTCAAAAAAATTTTTTGTTATGAATATATGATTTTTAGAATAAAATTAATAGATTAAAATAAATTAGAGTAAAATTAGAATAAAATTTTTGATTACGAATATATGATTTTTAGAATAAAATTAATAATGATAATTCCATCACTATTACAATTATTATTGTTAGTGTAGTTAAACTGAAACATCATTAACATAAATAATGATGTCCTCTTCATCACGTACATTCGAGATCTTATCATGTCGGTTCTTAAATTTCTGTTATAATCATGTTTACTACGAGGGATGAATTTCAATAGATCCATCTCTTCTTTTCTTTTGTCACTGTTCTGCCTTTAGAATTTAACAAGTGTATATTTTTGTTAAAGTCATATTTGAATATGATGTAGCATTTCGATATTTATAATTTTATTCAATCTAGGTTAAGCTAATTCACTGGTAATTCACTAGTAAATAACTATTATTTTTCTATTTGTGATAGAATTTTCTTTGTTGAGAAAAAATCCTGATAAGTCGTTTGAACTACATAAAATAGTCGTACGAAAAAACTGTTAATTTAAATAACATCTAGTCTCCAATTCCATCATATCTACACGAAAGATTATTACAAAGCTGCAACTCGAAAGCAAGGCATATAGAGCATACGTTTTCTTGGACTTTTCTTCTTAGTTTAGCGTACTGAATTAGCCTCCGCCGTACTTTCCACATATCCTGAATCACCCTGTGATTTTCAACATATTATAGTTCCTAAATAATTCTTTCTTTTTGTTTTCTTATGAGTCAAGACATGCAATAGTGAACATATTTTTAAATATCGTATAGTCGATAATAGGTAAAAGTATTAAATTTTAAAATGATTCATTATTTTCGATAATGAAAATTACGATATTTGCAACAGATTGCCAGTATTTTCTACGTGTAAATATTGTTGTGATCAATTTATAGAGAAACAGGATATACTAAATATAGTTATTCGAACTTATATGTAACTAAATATATTTATAATTTATTGTTATTATTATTAGAGAAATATCAGAAATTCATCGATAATAGTTTCATGAACATAAGTTAAAGTCAAATATCACCGATAAGTTTGCAAAAATCGTACGTTTCTCGTTACATCTTTATGGAACTTGTTCTTTATGAATTGTGATTGTTTTTTTTTTTTTTTTTATGAGTCATAGTTGTTTTTTTTCACGAAATCTCACGAATAAATTTCTCTCTTTCCTTAGTTAAATCATCAGGAATGAAATTTATTTTTCTATTGTTCTATTATAAAACTATTTCATTTTATTTCCGATCGGATAAAATTAAAATTTTAATTCTTACATTTAACGCTTGACTGTTAAAATTATTATTTTAAAAAGTATTATTCGCTTATATATTCATTTCAGTGCATTTAGTTGTTATCCTCGTTTCGTCGTAGCTTTGGATTTTAATTTGGAATTTAATTCGTCTTATCAAATATCACACAATTAGTACGATAGTCAGTAATATTTAAAATACATTTTGAATACAAATTATTTAAAAGATATTGTGTAGATAATTTTATTTTAGTAATACGGTTTATTTAAACAAATTGCAATATTTTAAATCTAGAAATGAATTCATAAAAATACTTCGCGTTAAAGTAGTAGACTCTTCAAAAATTGATAGTTTATTTTAGCATGGTATTTCCTTCAAACGTTTCGTATTCTTAAATTTTAATGAGAAATTGAAATTAATGATCATGGAAAATTAATGAATATAGAATAATTAGCTATTAAATTCAAAACGAGCGTTCAATTAATTCTCCGATGTCGAAATCATATATAAACAGATATTGATCGAAAATAATAGGTTGTTATCGGACGTCCGGTTGAGAACACATTGTATTAAAAAAAAAAAAAAAAGAAAAGAAAGAAGAAGTAATAATTTAAAATCGACGCTTCTTTGGCTTTTTAGATCGTTGATTTGTCTTTTCTTTTTCTTTCTGTTCGTTTAGCAGTAGACGAAAATGATACGCATGTGAGAGCCACCCACAACACCACCACTACCACCACCACCACCACTACCACCATCACTTTCAACACCACCACAAATCGTGCGAAAGTTAGAATGAAATATCCCAAGAGCACGCAGAACCGACCTCAACCATTGTACAGTCAAAAAATAGTAATAGGCTCGGAGGAATTAGTCGGGCGTAACATCGATAACGTCGTCAGGCAACGTATAAACGCTCTCGAAAAAAGTCCGAAGGTGATCAGGTCGACGGCTCTGATAATAAAGAGTTCTAAAATACCGGCGGAATCACTGAAAGCTGGTAAAGAAATCGCGAACGAGACGTACGTATTCCCGGCAGAAGACTCGGGAACGATCATTACAACGGTGATAGACGGTCCATTCGATTCTAACATCGGTAAGACGATCTTGCGCAGGTCTAACGAGCAGGTAAGCATGCTCGTCCGTCCTCAGGAGAATGAGGTTGATTGTCGCGGCACCGCAACCACGATGAAAACAGCAAACGGTTACATTGCATCGGCAACAACTGACGTCGAAGACGTTAGAAACGGAGTCGGAGCCACGAAACGACGGGAAAGGACAGGTAAATTAGGCGATCCTTTCTCTTTCATTCACAAAATAACAACACATATGTATGGCCCTTTCTTACATTTTATCGCTATATACCTATGCCTTTCTTATTGTTTGACGCTCCATATTCAGTAAATATTATTTATTACATTCGACTGGATATCGTGTCTTCCTTCTTTTGCTCTCTTCATTTTGCATCGAATTAAGCGTAACAATGGCATGAATATAAAAAGTATAAAGGCATGGTCCTTTTGACGATCAGGTTTCACACTGCACCGCACGTGTAGATTGTAGAGTTTTCATCTAGAGGTACGTAAATATCGTGTTATCGAACATTATACAATCAATTGTTTAACTATATTATTATTATTATTATTATTATTATTATTATTATTATTATTATTATTATCTTGTTCATAATAATGAATTCTTTGCTCACTTAAATCTAGTTTTATTCCATTTCTTTTGTAATCGTTGTATTATTGTTATTATAGTGCCAATTTCTTCGAATTTTATATTCTTGTCGAATTGATTAGTTCGTAATAGAATTTTCAATCAAAAATATGCTTTATATTTCTTTTCGAATCTGTCTATTACATATCATTGGAAATCAAAGAAAGATAGGTATAATTTATTTGAAATAAATTCTCGTATGCGCGTACGTAAATAGGCACTAATTGTAACTCAAGGGCGCATAATAAAACAAAACTGAATTTCGAATGTTTTTCATAATTTCGAAATAATTTGCTCACAGTTAATACGGTTTACGTCAACGTTATGTTATTTTAAGGCATTCGATGCGACAATTCGAAAAATGATAAATTTTTAGTTTTTCCAAATTTTGGCTATTTTGCTAATATTTCTTTAGTAAGAGATTCATTTTATTGTTAAAATAAGAAATCAATTGAAAAAGATCGAGAAAGTTATATAGTTCTTGTTACTTTTTCTAAAAAAAAAAGAAATCGTCATATTAAAAAATATTATAATAAGCGGAAATAGTCAAAATTGGGAAAAGCCGCTAAAAATATTTCTCTCCTACCAGAAAGTGTGTGTATAGATGAATGCAATACATTAACACCTGAAGAACAATTCATTGAAAAGTATCAACAGTTAAAAAGAGCAAAGAGTTAAGATCTGAAGAAAATTGACTACAGTGGCAACGAACATTATTCTAAAGAAGTCTCTCATCCATCCTTTGTGTATTTTCTAAAAAAAAATATATTTAGTTACAATACTATAACATTATAATAAAACAATCATATACTATGAAAATTCTCGATTAAATGTTCAATTAGATAGAGGAGATTCGAGCAATTAGTCAGAAGTGAATTTCTAATTGGAATATTCATTCAACTTAAAGCATTCAGTTGAATGCTTAGATTCAGTCTATGTTATACTTTATCAGCAAAAGAATTTAAAATTAAAGTAATAACCTATTGTGTATTATTTGTTTCAAAACATATTAATTTTTTCAGGATTACTATTGGAGCTTTACACTTACTGTGTTTAAATTTATTCTAATGGTGTCAGTTTTTTCATTTTAGAATTTTCACAACTTTAGAATTCTTTCTAATTAAAAAAAGAAAAATTAAAAAGTTATAGCAATTGTTCTCAAATTCTTTCAAATCTTCTTTCAATTGTTTCAAAATCGACAAGCAAATTTTACAAAAGGGAAATTTTTTTCTATTACAAAGATCACTTTACAAATAACATAAATTTTAATTAACAAGAATCCTTTAACAACTGCAAAAAAAGTGAATTTCGTATATTTAATAACCACCGAGATAAAAAATCTTAACCTAATCTAAACTTGGCCTAATATAATATAAATTGGTAATATTAAAAAATCTATATTTCAAAAACGATTTCGGTATCAGAAAAATTATAATTTAATTTTTCTCCCTTTCCGTTTATTTTCGCATAAATTACAATATACTTGACATGGAAAAACTCAGACATACAATGAAACGTTAAAATGATAATTTCAAAATCACGATATATTATAATTATACAGGATAGTCTACTTAAGTGAGGCCACCTAAATATCTTTTCGAATTGTGATGATGTAAAAATTACTTTTTGCCTAATATGAATGATATCGAAAGACCAATAACTGATAAGAAAATTTTTTTCAAGGTCATCTTTTCCGGAATTTTCAAGGTCATTGGTGTTTTTTTCATACAATCATATTTTTTTTCATTATATCGTGTAGCTGGTAAAAACATACGTTCATATGTGTGAAGTACATGACCTTGAAAATTTAAGTTTTACGCATAAATTTATATCTGTCGGCATTAGAAACCTTGGCCAAAACGCGATAATCGAAAGCCTAATAATGAATGTAAATAAACATTTACTATTTATTACTTTATCAATGCTATTATTTAACCCGACAGCAGACACGTGAGGATTCAGCGGAATAACTAATACCAACTATACATATTGTTTCTTGGATTCTTTGAAGTAAAATTAAAATTCGTATACATCCATATGTATAATATATATGTATTAATGTCATTTTTATAAAGAAATAGTAAAATATACAGATATTCATATATTATCATTAGTCAAATATTACCTTTTACTCGGTGTACACGAACATCCCATGTAAATATTTCCGTTTCAGAAGCCCACGTATGTATTAGTTACTAACATTTGTTGAAATCTGACAAACATCTCATTATGACAACGTACGATACATAAGCGATAGGAAATGTAGTAATCCTTAAATATAACAAAATGTCTAATAGTTTACTTCCTACAAAATATATGCTCCGGAAATTGCGACACAACCGGTAGAATGTGATTGTACATGTGAAAATATCGAAAAAAAACAATAAAATTTTTCCATATGATACTTTGTTCTCGAGAAAATCAAGTTTGAAAATTTATAAAATATAAATTTAGCTAATTCCAGATAAGGATAATTAAGCAATTATCCAGCAAAGGATAATTAATAAAAGATTATCCTATGTGCAAAAATAAGTAAAAAGTATAGAACAAAATTTTTTCCAGTTTCATTTTTAGACTGAGATTAAGAAAATAGACTGAATACGTATTTCGTTAAAAGTTGCTTACGCATACTTAAATAAATTTACAAACTTGTTTCGATGTTCTCGAAAACGAAACATCTTACAAAAAAATTTTTTCATTTTCGTAAAATAACTCTTTGTTAATTATTCTTTTCTATCGCGTCTAGAATTAGCTAAATTCAAATGTGATAAATTTTCATACTCAATTTTCTGGAAGACGAAGCATCATATGCAAAAATTTTATTTTTATTTTAGACATATTTTTACATGTGGACTCACACACTGGCCGATGTTACTATAATTTCGGGAACATCCTGTATATGAAAAAACTTGTGACATTTCATACTGTACACAAAAATTATACATTCAAAAATCCATAAAACAACATTGAATGTATTTTATCAAATTTTCAAGTAAATAAGATCTCTTTCAGTCCACGAACTCATTTATATAAAAAATAGTAATGTTACGAATACTATGTATACTATTGAAATTTACGAATGAAAAGTAACTATTGTAATTATAATTGCTTTTATGTGATTTTTTTTTTTTAGAAATTGGAATTGTAAGTTTCTGATATTTTTAAGGATATGTCAATGTTCGCACAAACATTTGTTCTTAAATGTAATTTATTTTAAATTTTTATATTTTTCAATTGAATCAAATTAAATACATTTTTATGTCAATTGATACGATTTTATACTATGTATAACCGACTCTATTTCAGATTAATTGAAAATGACTATACATATATACATGTATTTTGTTAACTTAATATGTTAATATTATTGAATATAGTAGAATTGAATGAATACAATCGATAATTAACATTTTGTGACTCGGAAAATATTTGCTGGTTTTTAAATATGTGAAAGAAAATTATTATTAAATACTGAGAAGTTATTATAAAATATTTTGTTAGGCAACTGAAAAATTTCATTTTCTAAAAATTCTAGCAAATAATCAACTTAATAACTGATTGATGAAAAAAATCTAAGCTTTTCCATCACGTTCAATAGGTAATTTTTGAATATATTATTAAATATTCTTATCTAAGATTATCCAGTTTTAAAAAATATTTTTGTATAAAACTTTAAGGAATTTTGTTTTGATTCTGTTTCCATATATAAAATAATTCTGTATAATGAAAATTTCACTTTAGATCTTAATTTCAATAGTTAGTATCATTTTATCTCATTTGTTTCAGCTTGTTTTCATATCATTATAAATTACCCATTTCTTTATTGTGTATATTAATGTAATAAGCTATAAATGAAACGTACAAGTAGAACATAAATATATTATTCTGACATTCATGATTCAGAGTTTTCGATATTTTGAATATTCTTTAAATTTTTACCGCTTATCCTAGATGGTGTGAAAAAAAATATAATTCTCTTCTTTCCACACAATTTACACTATATACTGTAAAACTTTGATGTAAAATTTTCTTAGCTGTTTATTAGAATATTTTTCGATACTATTTTTCTGAGTACTAAATTTTTCGTCCCCATTGGAAGAAGCAACTGTTGAAAAGAAATAGTAATTAGATAGTGCAATATTAAGTACATACTCGGAATAAGATAGGTTCAATCTAGTTGTAATACAATCTAGTTGGAATAAAAACGCGCATGCTTAATCGAGTTAATGATACTTGATTTAGATAGTAAAAGTTTTGTATAAATGTATAAATGTATATCTACTATATCATCTCCGTTTTTTTTTTTTTTTTTTAAATAATCATCCATCATTGATCTTTAAAGTAAAGATATTACAACTTTCAATTACTTTAATTTCAGAAAAATATTTGTTCCGTAATATAACATAAAGCAAATATACAATGTAAGAATAATATAAAATGAAAAACAAAAATTCTGAAGAAGACATGCGAGAAGATTATAATAAAAGCACGTAGACGGCGCATTAAGTTTTCTTTTCAATTAATATAACAATGTGTATATGTATGTATAATATAAAATATGAACAGTTAAAAAAATGTACTGTTACTTATTAAAGGAATCATTCCATTCTCTAATCATTTTACAATACATATATAGTTTCAAGTTTATCCTCCTTTTGCTTTGTTATAAATCTTATTAATAATAATCAATTAATCTTTATCTCTATAAACGAAAAATAAATGCCGTTTTATTAAAACTCATTTAGGGATTTTGTAATACTATATACATGTAACGAAGACAGTTACATCTACGTCACATTAAATTTTTCAATCAAAATAAAAAAAAAAGTATAATTCATTTATATTTTCATACGTAATAACATTCACAAATAGCGAGATCATGTCTCATCACCCTGAAATTTATAATGTAATCATTACTAAAAATTTTCGGAAATTTCTGTTTCAGTCGGTCAACACGAAGGTGTAATTAACGACTATTACTTTAGAGATTCTTTCGATCATTCGTCATCAGAAAGTCAACTATTGGACGCGTCTGGCAAACCGCACAGTCGTTCGGTGACCCCGGTGCCACAAATGCAGAAACTTCAGAATTCGAAAGTTTGTCTTCAACAACAGCAACAGCAGCAACAACAACAGCAATTCCAGCATCAACGGCAACCAAGTCGGCGTTTAAATACTAAACTGAGGCACAAAAATCTCCGAATCACGAGGCTTTTCATTCCAGCTTTTATGCTTACGATCACAGTTCTGTTTATCGTGATCGTCATGGTATTCGAGACAGACACGACGCTTTTCAATAACTTGCGTAAGACACCAGAAATGGTGGCTCTGAAGAACCAATACTACGTCCCTATTAAGGAGTTCTTGAGGACAAAGCTCGGCCTATTTTGATGCGACCCGACAATGACCAGGTTAAGGTCGCCCTTTGTCACTATGTAACTTCCTTCAGTGCCAAGTCGAGAAGATGTTGCCGAGGCCGGGGAACGAGAATACCGTTTCTTGTTCACACGTCATTTCCTCTTTCGATTTTCATACGGCATGACGACTTGTTTCTTCTTTTCTTTTTTATTTTTCTATCTCTGAATCAACGCGGATACATTGAGTTGATATTTGAAGTTTTTAGCTGAAGACTGTCTTAATACAGAAATAGCGTATCAATATTGGAATTCACTAGCAATGCAGTTAGTTTATTGTTACAGTAAAAAAATATCAAGAACTTCAAGTACCAATTACGATATATCTTTAAAATTGAGCAAAACTGCATTTCTGAAACGTTATTTTCTGCGATAAAAAGTACTTTTGTTTTATTATTTCTGTACTTTTTGCACTGTTACATATATGTATATATGCAGGATGCATCACGAAATAATTTCTACAATTTTTTCGGCATTTACAATGCTTTGGCAAAAAGAGTCTCAAGCAAAATTTAAATAATTTTCAATTGGTTATAAGTTACGCGTTATTAATACTTATTTCAAAAAAAAAATTTTATTTTTTTCATAAAAAATCAAGGTTACCTTTTTGCACTGTGTATTTCTGACTTCACTACATTGTAACTGATGTCAAGACGAATTCAAAATCTGATAACCTTGAATTCAGAAATTACGTTACGGATCTTTCGATAATAGGTAACACGCTAATCAAAGGATTACATACACGCGATAACACAAGTAAATGAAAATTAAATTTTATTTATGACAAACAATGTATTCAATTATGAAAGTAAATGTTCAAATTCATTTTGATATTGCTGTCGTTATATGTTGTCGAATTCAAGATCATGAGAAGATAGTATCAGCTACAATACTATAAAGTCAAAAATACACAGTAAAAATCACTTTTAAAAATTAAGATCTTGATTTTTTAGTAAAAAAAAAGAAATTTTTTTTTTAAATTTTGTTTACTGCAACCATTTAAATTTTATGTAAGACCTTTTTAGAAAACCATCGAAAATGCTTAAAAAATCATGAGAACTATTTTGTGACGCAGCCTTTATATATTTAAATCTTAGTAACTTAACATTGTATATCTACTCTAACAAAGACAAAGTGTTTTGTACAAAAGATTTACATTGCGAGTTCTCGTGTTTGCTAAGTTACGCATAATGTGACAAATTGTTAGGAAACTTTGTTATAGTACCTTTATCAAATTTATTTAATAAATTTAGATGAAAGTCAGTTTCTAAGTATTATAATATATAATATATAAATATATATATAGAGAATGTGTCGCAGATCGAGAAAGTCGTATTTATATTTAAATACAAAAGTAGATTATACACAAATGTACGTTTTCAACTTACAATTAGTAATAGACATCATGAGCAGAAACATCAATTAGTATGCTGCACAACATGTTTTTACTCTTTTTCTGTATAACGAAGCGATGTTATGTATATTTTAATTTTCAACTAAAAGCATATATCAAAATTACTGCATTTTCTGATGGATAAAATTCAGTTTTTAGTATTTTCTGTTTTTAGTCTTGTATATCTAATAAATGCGATCTTCGCATTTGTAAAGTATATTTTTAAATGTCCTCGTATTTACATTAGATTTTACTTTTACTTTATAATTTCAAAATACTACAAAATACTCTCACTCACTGAGAGAATACATAAGTCATAATCCTCACTGATTAATATGAAATTTCATTAACAATCTTAATTTACTAAATTTAAAGATGGTAATTCACTCTCTTGATTTTATGTATATTAGAAAATGCAATGATTGAAATAATATGCAAATATACGTTTAAATTTACTCAATTTCGAATTTCAACGCTAGTGTGATACACATAAGATTCAGCATGCGCGATCATAAACATTATTCATTCGTAAATAAACTAAAAAAATTGTAAACTTAAAATCCGCTTTCGCTGTAAACTTTCAGTTGTAAAATAACTTTTATGAGGCAATTTAATAGATATTATACGATAATATGAAGTGCAATCGGATATATTATGTAAAAAAACGGATGTTTCTTCTACTTTTATTCTAATGTTATCGACGTTTTCCTGAAAATTCGTATAAAGAAAAGGAGTATGTTTCTTGAACTTTGCATTAGCATGGAAGAAACAACTATCGATCGATTGGATGAAAAAAATCTGTTTTTATTCATTTTAATTTTGATTTATTCTTTGATAAATGGATAAATAAATATAAGCAAAATTCAATTTGTGTGCACAATAGGATGAATCGTTAAACATTAATATATAACTATATAACTTTCTTGAATTTTGGTGATATCTGAAGATACTAAATCAAACAATTATCTATTAAAGAGAATAGATTATATTATATTGTATATTTTGCAATGCTAAATTTGCTGGACAATAAATTTTTAGTTATAAAATTTAGTTTATTAGATTATGGAGCATGAAATATTGTTCAGTGACCTAAATTTAATAAATTAAATCTAGTAGGGATTAGCTTACAAATATTTATTTGCAATAATAAATAATATGACAATTAGATTAGTTTATAAAACTCAATATGTTATAATTGTACATTCATGGATATTTATAAATGCATAAAGCTACTTATTTTTATAGTAAACTACAAAACATCAAAATATTTAATATTACAAAAACATAGTTTCTGTTTGTGATATTATTTATGCGATAACAAAACAATATTTTCTTATTATACATATATGTCGTCGAGAACAAACATAAAATGAGTTTCACCTTTAATATCTCACGATTCATCCTATTATAATGAGAAAAATTCGTTTTGTTATGAGTTTTCTTTGATATATTGAATTACTTCCGAAAATTACATAAAAATGACATAATGAAAAAAAATTATCCAAAGAACAAAATAATTTGTCTGGATTTGAGTATAATATGATGTAATGAAATAGTGAAGTAGTGGAAAATTGGAATCCGCATTTTTCTATCTTAAATTACAATATTTTAGATTGTGCTTAGAATCGATATTATATGATATTCTATTCATTAATTTGACATTTTTAGACGTATATACAAACACACACACACATATTCATACATACATTCTATTACTTGATGATCTTCAGAATCTTTATCGCTAAATAATTTTTTATCTAGTAGTATTACTTTTCTTTGTTGATAATGAAGTGGAATATTACAACTGATATTTCAAATAATTTTTAAAAAATATATGAACACAGTTGATTAATATGAAACATGAAACATATGATAAAAACCAGCGTTCAAAAATCATTTTCTTTATTCTTGCTATTAATTTTAGTTAATATTTATTTGAATGTAAATAAAATGACCAGAAATACTTTTTTATAATATAACATTTTAAAAAAATAATAATTTGGATGATGTTTAGATGCAATAAAAAAAAAAAAAGGTGAGATATAATGAAACGAAATTCGTGTGTCGGAAAAAATTTCAATACTCTATTAGCGGATGACATATTTAATACACAGTATATTCGTATAGTACTCTAGTATTAAGTAAAATTGCACGTTTTCTTTTTCCATGGTTTTTGCAATTTCGAATATTTTGAATATTTTCCAACAATTCTCCGAATACATAAGATCAAATGTGAAAGTATCATTTAAAATTTACAATGATCAATTATTTTCAATCGTTTCTTATTAGAGCTGGTTTCATAGTGATGTGTCGCATAAAATGCATGGGCACAGCATTCTATCATTTCATCTGAATTAATCGAAAGAAATTTGCAGTTTTTATTTATTAATTAGTAGATCATTAATTTTCACAGGTCCTAATGTAAAAAGGAAGTGAAAAAAAATCTTTTTGATTATTTAAGAACAAATTTGATATAAGATTTCAGTATTAACAGCTGAATAGTTACATTATTACAGCTGAATAACAATAAAAACATACTTTCTAGAAAATATAATACGATGAAAGCATCTTTAGTGAATTTCTAGTTTAGCAGCTGTTTCCAATTTTGGCTATTTCGCTATTTCGTTTCTTTAATAAGAGGTTTATTTTATCACTAAAACAAGAAACCAATCAAAAAAGATCGAAAAAGTTATATAATTTTTGTTACTTTTAAAAAAAAGCATCATATTAAAAAAAATTATGGCAGGCAGAAATAATCAAAAAAATTGGGAAAAACTGCTAAACTAGAAATTTAGTTTATCTTTTAATAAAAGATCAGAAAATGAGAGTACAGCATTTATTTAAGACTTAAGAGGAGTGTGATCTTTTGTCTTAAAATTATAAGATACAGAATACAAAATTTATGTATATTAAAATCGTTGATCCCTATATGAATTTTCCTTCTCCTATGAATAATGCTTCTAAATATCAGATAGCTTACTCATAAACAACATTGATTTATTAATTAAATCAACATCGATTTAATTGAATTATGTTCGTTAATTTCAATTTTTTACCTTGTATGTTTGTTAGTTGTTTTAATTTTATAGTAATCAAATTTAGCAATGCTTTCCTAATAGTCTCTCATTAATATCTATTGAAATACTGGGAAACATTATAACATTGTTGGACTGTTATAAGTTATATATGGACTTACATAACTGTATAAATAAAAATATAAAAATAAACAAAAATGTCGATGAATGAGAAGGAAATTATCATCGAGTGACAGATCACAAAATTTTTCACTTTCCTCGATATACAAAGTTGACAGTGGATGCGATCTTTTTGATAAAAATGATCGTGCGCGATTGCTAGCTTCGCTAGTGAACCAGCCTAATAAAAAACAACGCATAACTTACAATACGTAAATTACTCCAAAGCAGGAATCGAAATTAATAGGTTCTTTTTAAAAAATTCTATTCCAATTTATGTATTTCGTATAATATCTGTGCTTGCGGGATTTTTATAGAAATGTTACACTTAGGAACACAACAGTGTTCTCATGGAACAGATATTTTAAACAATCGGTATAACAAAATTTCCACGGAAGTTATTTTAAGTTATTTAATTAAAAATACATTTTTATATTCGAGCATTATTCATCGAATAATATTCAATATCAATATTTACTATAAATATTGAGAATTTGTTTAATATTGAACAAATTATCTTTTCCTTCTTCAATATAAAAATTTTCATTTTAAACTTTTATTTTTAAGAACATTTATCTGTTCTTATCGGGATTTGTAAAGTTGTATGATCCATATTTCAAACAGAATCTTCTTAATTTTTTCGATCCCTGCTCCAAAGTTAAATGATCAAACGCTGTACTCTATTAGTAAAAGTAAGTAGTTGAAATGAGAAGTATTGGGTAAATACACATAGATTCGAAAATGCTTTATAGCTACGATACATAACAGTGAAAAAGAACCATAGAATATTCACGTTTCAAAATGCCATACAAATTTTTACATCGTAGAAGAAATAAGGAAAAAATTGTATGCTTACGCCTATCATATTTTAATTCAATAAGTGCCAAACCAATCTCTTGATTTATTATCTTGCAACCTCTTGCGGATAGAAATCAAACGATGCAAAATTCTGGGATCAAAAAGACGCAATCAATCCTGGTCATCAAATAATAAATAGAAACAAAATATATATCGCCGTATATTTTCATCTGCATTGAAATTAACATTTATTGCGAAACTATACGTATATTGCTATGCTTATACAAAGATATTACAAAAATTTAATATATTTCTTTTTTTCAACTCGTAATGAAGTTGTTTAAGATTTCATTAATGTTTCTACAGAAGAGAACAGAAAATCTTGAATTACGTGTACATAGCCTTTCAAAGAAACAATAACTAATGCCACATTTATCACCAGATATTAAGACGTTAACTTCTTACGGTTTAGGTAAATAATAAATTCGTCGATTGCAATTGAGCATAAGTACGAGGAAATGTTTGAAAATGAAAATTACGTTTATCTTTCAACATTGTGAAGTGAAATTGTACATACTATATACACGCTCTCAGATACTAAACTCACCGCTCGAGTTATTAATTTCATCTGAATTGAAATTACTTATACCCCCATTTAAAAGTCTTAGGACAGGAATTGCATATATGTTTCAAAATTGAAAAAAATTAAATGATACTGCACGTGTTAATATAAGTGTTAATATAATAACAATTATATTACATTAAATTAATACATATGAAATATCATTTTTCAAATATCTATTTTGATCTTCGATATATAATTTATTTAATTGAAGTAATTATTTCCACACGATTCAATACATCTTTCCAAAATTCCAAGTTTGTGATAATTATCAGTCTAAAAATTAAAAAATTCCTAAAACTAAGGAGTTGTTGCGATTTTTAATTGATTTATGGATTAAAAAATTGGTGAAAAGAAAGATTTCCAACAACTTTCAGAGAACTTTTAAATAAAAACATGTAAGAAAATCACAGATTCTAATCATTCCTGATAATTAACGATAAATTTTAACGATTTTTGTTATTTATAACATGGTTTATAGCAAATTTCTTTTTTTTAAATGCAATTAATAATTGATAATTGCCAAATTCAAACTTCGAAGAAGCGACATTTCAGATGTACGAATTGAATAAAATATCGTGTTCGATTGAAAAATGTTTATCCACGATAAATATACTGAATATTCAAAGTATCCCCAGACTTTTGAACAGGAGTGTATGTAAAAATTTATGCGATGAAATGTTTCAAGAATTATGGTTTTTTCTTCTCTCTTTTTTTTTTTTGGTATAACAAACTTTTATCGTCAAACTTTGGAACATGCCTACATATAAAATACTCAAGAAATATTCAAATAAGATTCAAAGGAAATAATATTAAGGAAGCATGAGATTAATAGTTTCGTTTTCTTTGTTTTAAAATTTAAAACTTTCGTTTTCATTGTTTTGTACGTAGCAGTATATATATATATAATTTAATAATTTCTTTAATATCTCTGTGTTAATTTACTTAATATTCCACGCTATTTTATCATTGTTTATCTTAATATGAAAATACATAATGTTTCGAATAAAATAATTTCATACAATTGTGTTCATTAATGTAAAAGTCAAGTATCTGAAAGTTGGTTTTTTTCTTTCTGCTAATTAAGATACGTAAGACCAAGAAATAGTAGAAATTAGAATTTATTTGGTTCTTAAATTGAATTGTAAATTATACCTCAAAGATTGTTGCATTGTTAAGCTATATTGTCAGATAATGTTGTGATTCTGATTTTAATTAACTCCTAGAATCAAAGTCAAAGTCTTTTTAGACAAGATTGAGTTAGAAAATTTTTTTACTACTTATTTCAAGTCCTTTTTTAATCATTAATAATGATTTTTGAAAGGAAAATTTCGATGAAAATAATCAAAATAATCAAAAAAATTTATTATATTATTCGAGAATTCTGCATATAAATTACATTTTATTGCTTTTTGATATAATTTATCCAGAAATATCTAAACACATCCATAGAAGTCGTATTATCGTCAGAATAATTGCATAAAAGTCTCAGTTAAATATATCGGTATTTATTTGCTATGAATACGTGTCTAAATATTTATTTGCATTTTGTTCAATCTTGTTTAAAAAAACTTTAACTATTGGCGTCGTATGGCCTATACTGTATTGATATGAAGGAGAGTCAGAGTATATTCTGTTGACATGTATTTCGTTCCCAATGCAAACGTGACACGCACGCATATATGTACTTAGGTATTTGATAAAAAACGTATGAGTAGAAAAATATAACATACTAAATGAAGTATTTTACCATTAAAGGTATAGATAATTCGGAAAGAACGAACATGTATTATATTATATGCATATATAGATATTATTAATAAGCTAATCAGTTAGTACTAATTATTTAGAAAATGTTAGGCAACTTTAAACGGTCAACGAAAAGCAATTATTTGGTGGTTACATGTAGATAATAAGCAGAATTTAACGTACAATAAGAAATCTTCGAGAAAGTTGAAAAAAAAAATGATTGGTCTAACGTGAAACTTTTTTGGTTCAGAAACAAATCAAAGACCTTCACTTCACAAAATCACATAAATTTTTTATTTTGTTTTATTATCATTGCACATGTTTGTTAATTGATTATTTTTCAACATAGTTACTTATAACTATTGAATTAACTTCTCATTAATTCAAAAATAAACATCATGCATTGCATCTTTTTACTAACACGTTTAGAAAATTATGCTAATATTATTAAAGATTAACAATGTACCTAACAATTTTGATTCATTTGTCACCATTTATATATAAAAAATTAAGGAATGGTTTTAACCAAAATTTTATTTAACAAATGCAGAAACTGAGTAACGTTCTATTTCTTAAGTTAAATTGTATCAACTTGATTCTATTTTTTTATTTCTATTTTTTTTCTTTCTCTCATTGTATAGTGCTCTTTAAAATATTGTACTATCGAAAATACTCGATCTAAAAGCTCTAATAAAATATTTTTGTAAAAATGAAATCACTTTGAAAGAAAACTACAATCTTCTTAACATTCGAACTATAAATGATTATTAAAAATTATTCTATCGAAAAATGTTCAATATATATAAAAAAAATTTTGTTGTATTTATTCAAAATCGAACCGATTCTTCACTCGCCATTTTGTTTATTAGTTGTACGAAATAACATAATTTTTATTTGCTAAAAAAACTTTTGTCAAGTAATTCCAAATTGTATATGCGTGCATATGTATTATAATTACTTTGATTTTCAGTTACTTTTTTTTTTTTTTTTGTTTCAAAAGATAATTTAAATTTGTCAAATTGGTTATTAAAAATTATTGGATTATACTCTGGCTTGAAATCTGTTTAATCTAATAGTAAAAAATACAATACGGGCTGCTTTACCGTTACAAATGTTGACAATGTCGTGTAAAGAAACCAATTTGCAAAAGTCTGTTAAATTAATAATAGATTTCTAAAATGTTCTTTCCGACTATTTAATCTAATCAAATCGAACTATACCTAGAGCATCTGTTTTTTGCCTTACTTAAAAGAATCTAATAAACATTTATGTTTTGTTTATCAACGTATCAAGTATCAGGCAATAATATTCTATCTATTCTTTTTA